GTGTGTGTGTGTGTGTGTGTGTAGGTGTGTGTGTGTGTGTGTTGCAGCAGATACTGTATTTAACCTTCTTTCTGCTCTTGGGTCAAAATGACCCAGAAATCAGTTTTAGGCCTCCTGGATCATTTTGACCCAAAGGCAGCTGGAGGGTTGAAAGGAATAACTACATTTCTTTCTTTTTACTTGAGTCTGGTTTATAGAGAGTTTTGAACAACTTTACCAATTGGATTTAGGTTTTTATTATATTTCACAATACTTTACAACATGTATGGAAAAGGGGTTTGTTTTTGAGGAACAGTTGTGATTTCAAGATGCTCCATTTGTCAAATACCAGAAAAGTTTTGTTTTAGGATTTCACACCCACATTTTGCTGCTTAATATGTAGGCAATTCCATCATTTATTGCATGCAAGATTTAGTCTGGTCAAACTGTAATCAAACCAAAGTTAAGACTTGTTTTTTATCAAATCTCTCTGTCACGAAACGTTAAAGACCTTCATTAATTCACACGCAAGGCTTTTTATTGATTTAAGGAGGCTATCCTCTTGAGATAATGAGCTTTATTGTGTCTGGAACATGCAGGTAGTCCACGCCTCTGTTGTGTGATCTGTAAGCCTGAGAGGAGATAACAGCCCAACTGCTGCGTGTTACAGGATGAAGCTGCCCTCATCACTCACACATGCAGCTTCCAAACATCTCCCATCTCATCTACACTTTGTGCCTCCCCTCTCTTCACTCTGCACCGATAAAAAGCAATCAAGAGCAGCTTGTAGGTGAAAATTTAGCACACTGATATTTTCATTTAAGTCTTTGTAATAACCCTCATTGCACACTCATGCAATCTCAAAAAGGGGCATGTGAGGTATGAAGATGTGGTTTAGATGTGTTATCTGCACACTTTATCTCCTGCCTTCATGGTTTAAGCATAAATGTTACAAAGATTTAAACAAGCTGGCTTCTTGAGTGTCATCCATCCATTCATTTAGCTCCTCTCATCTCTGATCAGATAGCGAGGGGAACTGGAAATGGGTCCAGGAGAAAAAGCCAGAGATCCCGACACTCTCCAGCTCCTGCTGGGGGGTTAAAAGCCTCGGGCCAGTGAGGATACATATATTTTCTCCAGCAAGTTYTGGGTTTTCTCCTAACTGGACTTGCTCAGAAAATCTCCAGAGGTCGGGTCCCAGGAAGCAGTCTAAAGATGCCCAAACCACCTCAGCTGAGTCCATTGGCTGTGGAGGAACAGCTGCTCAGAGTTTCTCCTGGATGACGGAGTCTCTCTCTTGCTTGGATCCAGGATCTTGTTCTTTCATCATGACCCATACATCACGACCAAAGATAAGGGTCGGTATGGCTGCAGCACTTATTACTGTGGACAAAGACCCGCTAAGTGTCCTGCTGCATCCTGCCATCACTCATGAACAAGACATCCAGGTACTGAACCCCTCTGCTCACCCATCATCTAAGCACCACCTGAAATCTTGCCTAGGGTGTCCAATTGGCTATGGCCGGCCCTGTACTGTGATCCTGTGAATGTGGTGCTCACTAAAAGGAACATGAAACCAGGGGTGACCCTGACTTCAGTTACCCAGAGACTAGAAAGCCTAGTCAGAAGCTCGTTCACGAACAAACTTCTGTTTTCATTGGCTGTTAATTTTCGGGTAAGCCTGGATTTTTCTAAAGCCTGTAGTACCACCGGGAAAAGCAAGAGGACTCTTTTTTTCCCCCATAGCTTACCTGTCWAATATCAATCTGTCAGGAGATAGTGACAGAGTGAACAAATATGTTAAAAAYATATTTTTAGAAAAGTTACATACTGCACCTTTAAGTGTCTCCTGCAGGTGTGTGATTGCTGGGGTTGATTTTATGATTGTGTCATTTTTAATCTGCAACAAAACGGCAATAAAAGGTACCGGTAGTTCTTAGGCATTCTCAAACATTTCGTCTTACTTTTTTTCTTTTTTACTGTTTGTAGCTTCTCTGACCAATGAATAAATCTGATATGAAATTAAAGTACATAATTTTTCCACCTGTGTTCTCTAAGGCAGCAGCAGTGCAGAGATGAAGTCTGTGTGGATAAAATTCCTTCCCCTCATGATCCTTCATCCAGGTAATTGCAGCAAATATTTAACTTCTCAGCTGTCTCATACTGAACTGCGGTTGCAGCGTTAATCTCAAAGCAAACTTTGCACATCAGAAAGTTAACATTTGCAGAATTTAACATCTTTAAGCAAAAAAAAAAAAACGCTGATGGAAAAAACATCATGTTCTGTGTAATTGCAGGTTTATTGGGAAGAAAATGTTCCATGATGAACAGAAAGGAAAATCTAATTCACAGTACATTTCATCTTCGTAACACGGTGCACTGAAACATACGCCTTCAAAACCCTGTTGTTGCTTTGCACACTTTGATGTCTCATAAAAATACTCCAAGGAAAAGAAAAGCTAAACACATAGGGGGGAATACTTACAAAGAACATTTGAGTCAGCTTCCTTTTAAAAATTCGATTGAAAGATGTCTGCAGTTCAAATATTGAGCAGACATCCTAATATCACAGCTACTAAAGACTGAGTCGACTGATGACTCTCTCCTCCTGAGCACCAAAAACATCTGCAGCTCTGCTGACATCTGCAGCTTTACACTTTAGTTGCAAAACAGAAAAAAGAAAGAAAAAATAAATTTAAGGTCTGAAAATGCAAATCAAAATACTATTGGTCCTGTTTTTTTGTTTGTTTTTTTTTTGGGGGGGGGGGGGTTAAGTTGAACTGAGTGTAATGAAAACGATGGTCCGCTGAGTCAGATTCAGCAAAATAAATTGATCAATTAGAAAGCCCTACGGCAAGATATTGTGTCATTTAATGGAGAGGTAGGACAGTCGTCACTGTTCCATGTATCAGGTCCCAGGGTGAAACAAATTATTAACCTTTCATGACATTTTTACCTAAATAACAAAAACCTTCAGACCAAAATCAGATTTTTTCAAACCATATTTAGTGGTTACGTCAGGAGCCAAACCATGAATCAAATCAGATTAGAGGTGAAGGGATAAAAGGTTTGGCACAATATTGTGATAATGGTATTTAACAGGTTGAAGGAATATTCACCTATACATTGTTTTGTTGTTTAGATTCCTGGACAGCAGTCAGATTAAATAATGGYCCTATTTTACAAACTTGTGTTCCTTCATTTCCTTGTAAAGTTGAAACAAAAGGACACACTGGAGTGGATTGGTCACATTCACTTAAAAGACAAAAAGAAACCCAAATCAAATCTGAACCATGAAGCACTCAATCTAATCAGCAATCTGAGCAACAAGTGTTTGTAAGAGCAGGACAGTCTTTACATTTCAGCACAACAGTGGTCCCACAAAAAAAAAAAACTCTGCTTTTATTTTGGAGTTTCTTCTCTGGGTCTTAGGGATCCAAACGTGGTCGCAGCCGCTGGAGGCATTGACAGATAAACCGTATCACACTCATGATGGACAGAATCATTTGACAACAATCATCATGGAAAAGTTTTAGATCAAAACTCCTTCAATGTTGTAGAAAACTAGAATTGAACAAACTTCACAAAACTATTAACACTTTTTGTCTTTGTTACGAAAAAAAATAGATTAGGTAGATTTATTAAATTTCTAAAACTAAAATCAAACGGTGGAGTAAAGGAGGATGAAACTCTTTACAGTAAAGAAAAAAATGTTGGTGCTTCAGATTAATTATTTCATTGTCACTTTTAAAAATCATGTTTAGTTTGGCTAACTGTGAAACTGATCTAAAGCTTTAATACTCCTGATTTATATTTTACATTAATGTAGATTTCTAAGTTAGCAGCCTGTCGGTGCTGCTGATAACTGCTCCCCTTCCTTTACTATCTAGAAATAACAGAAGWTGGAAGAAGAAAATATCTTTAGGTACATTTCCTATGTGAGAAATAAATATACAGCATCCATAAATGGAGTTTCTCTTTTAAATTTTAACAAATTAGCTTTTATTTTTAGATCAAAGGAAGGGTTTGGCAATAACCTCTGATCTCGGATTGACTCAATTTACAGAGTTGGAGTTCTTTTGGAAAACGTTTCATTCATGGTTTTCTTTCCTTTGTGTGTGTGTGTTGTCATTGAAGGGGTGCTCGATGCCGGACCACGTTACAGGCCCTGGGACTCGCGGACCTTGGCCTGCAGGGCATCGCACGTCTTCTTTGCATCGCCAAGCAGCATCGCAGTGTTGGGTTTGTAGAAGATGGGGTTGTCCACGGCTGCGTATCCCACACCCAGAGAACGCTTCATCACGACCACCTAAAGACGACACAAAGATGGTCATCAGGAACTGAGAGTTAATCCCAGACTTCTGAAGAGAACTAGAATTTTTTATGTTTACCGTCGTCACTGAAGAGTTCGGGGACAGAATTTTTAAAGSGATCCCCGATTAGTTGTAACATTAGAATTTATTTGATAAACATATATTTTAACTGTAAAATAAAGACTGTAAAAATACTGTAGGATGTTTAGTTTTGTAAATTTTTAAAAAAATATTAACACAGATGGAGACATTTTATTTACACGCAAAGAATTCTGGGTAAATGATGATGTGGATAGGTCCTCAGTGTGAGCGAGCTACATCCACCCTGAAGGTTAATCTTGGAGAGTATCTGATGATCGACTCTTTTAAATGAAACCAGAGAGCGTTGACAGAGAGGAGAAGGTAGAAATGACTCAGCCTGTAACTGAAAATATGGATGGAGGACAACAGAGCTGCTTCATGGAAGAACCCCTTTGTGCTAGCACTGACGCTATATTGCCTCATTTGTATTAGCTCAGCGCTAGCGTGACAAACAAGCTAAACTGAGGTCCTCCGTCCATATTTTCAGCTGCAGGCTGAGTCATTTTTGTGTTCCCCTCTCTGTCATGTGGATGGAGGACCTCAGTGACGAGAGGAGAATGTGTAGCGCTGAGCTAATACATATATATGGTGATAGCATCGGGGCTAACGCTAAAGCTAACAGGCTAAGCTGAGGTTCTTCTTCCATGAAGCAGCTCTGTTGTCCTCCATCTATATTTTCAGTTACAGGCTGAGTCATTTCTACCTTCTCCTCTCTGTCAACACTCTGGTTTCATTTAAAAGAGTCGATCATCAGATATTGTCCAAGATTAACCTTCAGGGTGGATATGGCTCGCTCACCTATACACGTCATCATTTACCCAGAATGCTTTGCATGTAAATAAAATGGTCCCGTCCATGTAATATATTTTTAAACTTTTAGTTTAAAAATTATAAAAACTGAACATCCTACAGTATTTTTACAGTCTTTATTTTACAGTTAAAGTACAAGTTTATCAAATAAAGTCTAATGTTACAACTAATCAGGGATCCCTTTAAAGAGTTCTGGGTTTTTCTGGTCTTCATCTTTCTGGCCTTTAAGACCGGTCTTATGCTCTTCCTTAAACCTAATGTCTCACCTGTTTGGACTTCCAGACCTCCAGCACGGGCATGCCAGCAATGATGGAGTTGGGGTCTTCTTGGGCAGCAGAGTTCACCGTGTCATTGGCGCCGATCACCAGAACCAGGTCAGTTTCTATACAAAACCACAAATTATGTTTTAAACCATATTTTACAGCTCATTTTACAGGAAATGAAACAGATTCAGAGTTTATTTTTTGTTTCTGGGAAAAAAATGGGTTGATTAGCTCTGTTAAAACGTTACTATTCCACTTTTGTAACGTTTATTGGCTCCAAATCCTCTCAAATGAAGCCTGGACTCACCAGGGAAGTCCTCGTTAATCTCCTCCATTTCCAGAACAATATCATAYGGGACACCAGCTTCAGCCAGCAGCACGTTGAGCTGACCGGGCATACGACCGGCCACTGGATGAATCCCAAACCTGTGGACAAACAAAAAACTGAACTTTTAGTCAACGCTTACACAAAATCCCTTCTTTACAGGCGTGATGTCAAGAGGAGAGAGAAAACATGTCAGTGGTGAATAAATACATTGAGAATAAGTTGAGAAAAAGTGTTGCTAAACAGTTTTTACACAAAACTCCAACCAGAATCATTTATTTAATGTGCAACACATTTCTCTAATTCAAGTTATCGAACCAGTTCAGGAAACCTCCTCTCACCAATCGTCATCTACAAACACGAGACATACTCTTAAAAATAGATCGTATAATTGCTAACTTAAGGTGTGCAAAGAACCCAGATAACTTTGTAGTTTTGAGAACTGTGACAGCAGAGTTTCTGTTGAACATGTGTCTACATGAATAGAGACAGTAGGACTTTGGCCTTGAAGGAAAGCAATGAGACAAACTTTAGTGTATAAAATCCATCAGAGACATTAAAGCTGCTGGTTAACTGAAACAAAACAAAACAAAGAGCGAACACAATTACACAGATCATTGGATGTCAGAGAATAAATTAGGAAATAAGAAGACAAAACAAAAAAAGACAAATCAGGGCAAAGAAATGTTTTCCTTTTTTTTCCCCTCGTCCTTCTGACCACCCACTTTCCTCTAATCAAGCACAAATGCTCCACAGAGCAGCAGCTGCACCAGCCAGGATCAAACAGAGGCAGGGAAATTGTGCAAACGTACCTTGTTTCTTCCCTCTTCATACACACTCTTATCAAACAGGTTAATGCTTCTGTCTTGGTTTAGTTAACAGCTTGTTTACAAATTTATCTACGTCTTTATTTGTATAAAACGTTTGTAAAATACAGTTTCAAAGTCTGAACATCGTGTCAGCAGAGTTCTGCAATAAATTAGGTACATTTTATTGAAGTAATCATGTCTTTACCTGACTTTCTTGCCAGCCTCGGTGAGCATCTTTACCAACTCAGCAATGGGGTACTGGGCCTTTGCAGCACAAAGTCCATAACCTGAAAGACATTTTAAAATAAGAGTAAACACAACGTAGTCTTTGCATGTTTTGCTACAGTTTACACACATGAAAATCTAAGGTTGGCATAAAAGAGAGACTCCTGTCAACACAAGCAAACATCAACATTCAATAATCTTTGACTTAAACTCATAAGTTAAAACAAGATGTGCCCGAAGTCCAAACACATCAAAGACACGAGTTTAATGAGATCCATTGAAGTCCTGAAGATTTCCAGCAATATTCTGGAGGGCCCGCATGTGACAACTTTCAACCATGACCAACAAGTGTCTGTCCTCAAAACAACTGTTTTCTGCCATTTGGGACCAAAGCTGAAGAACGTTCAAATGTATAAAATTCTCTGCCAAGTTTTCTGAATTTTTATAGTGATTTGTGGAAAAACAGCTCTGCCAGCTGTTCCAATATAACCACCATTCAACTCAATTTGTCTCTGCAGCTCAAACAAGGCTCCCATGTGGCTGCAACCATCAGTTCATCGTCAACAAACACAAAATATGTTCATGGTAAATAGCAAATTCTATATGCTTGGATTTCTTTTATACTTAGCGATATTGGTGTATGATGCTGGGTTTTTTTAATCCTACATACAAACACGTGTCAAATGGTTCACTGAGGTTTACAAGCCTTGTCACAACAAGCAGTCAGAAATCTTTTTACGACAAGCCAACTAAAGTGACGTGGCTTCAAACTGAGCTAAAAAAAATTGGCAAAAAACTTTAAAGAAAACAACAGCTCTTTCCAAAAAACACTGTCTGTTGTCCAGAAAAACTATTTAAAGATTTTCACTTTCTTTTCTCCACTTGTTATAATTTTTTATTTTTTATAAAAATATATATAACTTGTGCTGCCAATATTCTTACACAAGTTTCCCATGTAAGAAAAAACACAGTGCCAGAGCATGCAGACATGGTCCAAAGCCAAGAAAACACTTATGTTTATCAAGCTGAGACTTAACTGTTAACACAGACGTCAATCAGCCCAAGTGACTGTGATGGGTCCAATTTGAAAAGAAAAAAAATAAAAGGTCAAAATGGAAACGCAGGCAGTGACTAAAAGCTGGCAGGTAACGGTGTTAGACTATTACACATTATCATAACACAAAAGTGTCAGATGGAACAGGGTTTTTTTCTGTTTTATCGTTATATAATTGATGTTATTAACTAAAATATCACTCACATGCTGGGACATGGTGTGGTGTTAACATTTAAATTTCAAGTGAGTCTAAGATGCACAAAGAAGCACTCTGCTGTGGCTGGAACTGCTGATGCCAAAACTGTGCAGGTGCAGGTTCACAAGCTTTGTTGCCTTCTAATTGGTGTTTTCAGGAAATGACTGACATTTAATTGTTGCAGCAAAAAATAAATAAATAAATAAAAATAAGTATATGTCCTTACCAACAGTGAATGCCTCATTTCAGTTTCACTGGACCAGATGAACAATTCCGCATTTCTTGTAAACTGCAGTGATTTCCTCTAAAGATTTAGTGTTTGTAAATTGGCACTGAGCTCTGGGACTGGAATCCTCCGTTTGCAGGCTGGTTGTTTTCAGTCTGTGTTTACATGCGCCCACGTGAGCAAAACAACTCTTTGGGTTTGTATCACAACCCGCTGAGGAGAGAGCTGGAACGTTTCTGGGCCACCCCGATGACGCATTTACAGCCGCCAATTCAAAACCAGTCGAAAATGTGAAAAGCTATCACACGTTCGTCGTCAAGTCGGAACGTGTGTAAAACAAAGAAAACCGCTGAGCTGAAGCAAACGTTGGACCTCACACTCCAAWCCAGAAAAAAGGAACAAGAAGCCACTCGGGACCGTAGTGTTTGAGTTGTCAAAACACCCTGCGTACCCTCATTTTATCCAACTTCCACTTGACCTTGCATAGATGTGCTCCACTGAAGAACGTCTGTTTACCAGTTAGTGCCGACCACACAGAAACGAGGCGAATGTGTTTGTGTGCGCACGTTCTGCTGTGACTTGTCAATTATAGAGACGTAACAAGAAAATGCTAAATAAACAGAACATGCACCTTGCCTGTGTTGAGGGGGTGTAACGCTAAAGTTTTCTCCTCAGACCTCGGTGTGTTTTTATATTTTACCTGGAGTGATGATAATGTTTTGAGCTTCTTTAATCATGTCAACGGTCTGCTCCACGTTGACCTCTGTGTGTGTTCCTGTGATCTCCATGGGCTTTCCTGTTCCAGTGGAAGATGTACCGTAACCTCCCAGGATCACATTAGCCAGTGAACGATTCATGGCCTGAAGGGGGAGAAAATATATTTTACTTTTTAAAGTGTGTACATCAAAGCATTGATTCCAACTTTTTACTAAAATCATGGAGGTCAATATAATAGCTGGAGTGAGTCTTGACCACATGATCGTGATTCACTGTAGAAGCTATGACGCTACTCAGAATGGGCAAGAGTCTGGATTTAACATTACTGTACATGTTGGCAACATAATGGAAGACAGGACTGATGATGCAGAAATCGTAAAAACTATTAATATTAACAAAATTATTTATATTTTAGAGTGCAGATAATCTATCTAATGTGTATGAAAATGCCAAAAATCTGTGAGTTATGAATTTACCAACAGAAGAGCAACAGGAAAATGTTTCACTTCACAAGTAAATTTTACTTTATTTACTTCAGTGTGGATGTGAGCTGAATGTCGAGGCAGACCTGATGTGAATTTAGATGTAGATGTGATCTGAATTTATTTGGTTGGTTGGGTAGTTGGTTGTTTGGTTGTTTGGTARGTAGGTAGGTATGTCTGTCCCAAAGGTGACAGAAAATCGTCTTTGACAGGGCTCCACGTTAAAAACATACATTCAAAAATAAGTAAAAAAGGTAAACTTCAATGACAACAAGTGCTTTAATAAAACCCATATCCACACAAAACAACCAAATTTAAAACTGTCATTAAATTGGGGGGAGGGGGACTACGCAGCCTTGTTTAATAATAATGTAGTTACTGAATTTGTTAGCAGATATTAACTTCTGTTGCATATACAGCTGCACTCTGCTGAATCATGCTACAAATTTATGTAATATTTACAGTGTAAAATATAATATATTTGACTTTTTAGTTTTCTGTTAGACAAACCTGACTTGTTGAGAAAAAGAAGAAGCCAATATCAGTACAGTCAAGTTTCACCCTTTAACCAAGTATACAGTAAACATGTTCAAATTATCGACTTATAAATATTATTACTAATGATGGCCAGTAACAAATGATAAATGTACTTTATTACTAGTTGAAGTCATAATTTTTCAACTACCTAAAAAAAATTCTCCTTCCAAACTTCAGGTCTGGTTTAGATATTCATTATGATTTATCTTCTGTTTATATATATCATTTAGCTGTTTTACATGATTGTTGAATGAAATTAAAATAATTAGCAGTTACATTAATTTATTGTTGAAATATTATTTGTGACACAGATCCAGTTGGGCTTGCTGTTAATCAAATAGTTGCTATAACGGCTGTGAATTGTTATTTATATCTATGATTAAAATAGTGAAGAGTCCCTGCTGGTGGACAAGAGAGGAACAACCTGTGGTTAACTGCATGTGTTCGTCTTTAAAAAAAAGTCATGAAAACAGTGTTCTCTGCTTACCACACACATGATGTATGACAGAATGGCTCCAGACGACCCGATGAGAGCGCCGACGATGGTGAGCAGGTTGTTATTAAGCAGGAAGCCCTCGGCACACAGAGCCCAGCCTGAGTAACTGTTCAGCACCGTGATGACCACCGGCATGTCAGCGCCTCCGATAGCTGCTGTCAAAGTTACACCCTGCAGGAGAAACCATGATGGTTCAAAATTATCATTTCACGTTCAACCAAAACTCTACAAGCTTCAAGTAAAATGAGGTTGTGTAGCTTTGTCCAGCTCAAAAAATAAAGCATGCTAGCAAACACAAAGAACAAAAACTAACATTTTTGCAAAAACTTGGTTCATCTCATGCTGCACATTATTATAACAACTGACAGCCTTGTTTACAAAAAGGTTGGTGTAAAAAAATTCTTTATAAAAAAAAGTGCAACTGTCCTTTAATATCACCAGTGACAGCCGTCGCGTGCATTGCCTCCAGTCAGAACTCTGTCCTGCGGACTGTGTGGCTCTCAGTGTGATTGGTCAGAACTTTGTGGGCGTGTCTGTTCATGTGGAGCGGCACCCTGAGCAGAGCGTCTTTCTGCACATTATTTAAATGAAAAATGATCCATTCCCAGAATTTGTTTGTTAAATTAGAATGATGCACAGCTTTGATGAGCAGCTGCTATGATCCTGTTGACCACCTGAATGTGCCACCAACATTCATGCCTTCTTTCCAGCTCCACCGTTAACAAAAAAAAAAAAAAAAAAGATTTTCCTCCTCCGACTCCTCACCTAACATAATTGATTCATCAACTGCTATCACAGTTGTTTATAAGATTGGTTCTAAGCTGTGCTACATTGGGAGTACTGTGGGAGAAATTATGATGATGACTTTGCCCCTGCTGCACCTGAAATGACGTAATCACCGATCTGCTGTCTCACATTGTACTGAAGTATAAACCAAGCTTTAGTCCTGCATTGTTTCTATTTAACGTCATGTTAAAAAAGGAATTTGTCTTCAAAAGAAGAAACATTTTTCACAATTAGATGCACATGCTTTCCATCCCTTTAGCATTCGTACAGGTTTTGTTTAACAAGAGCCAACTGCAGTTACCAAAGCAACACTGATATTCAATTTATACTGACCACTCAGCAAGTCTATTTTCAGGAAGTTGAGCAAGTCTACAAACACATGCACATGTAAGGTAGATGATCCATAATACTTCATTTGAATTAATGATTAGAGGCTAAGCTGCATAAAAAAAGAAACTGAAATAATAAATTGGGTTTCTCCTGAAGTGCACTGATATCTTGTTTTTGTTTATACATCTTTTGATTTCCTCAGCACATGTAAAAATAAAAGCTGAAGCAGCAAAAATTGTCTTTATGCACAAGATGCACATCCCCCTTCACACAGATCATCTCCAGAGATTAAAAGTATCTGATGTTCATTAATGACGTCTTTTGGAACCTTCACAAAGGTTTTTAAACAGAATCAACTTGACTTTACATTGATGTAGTAATTAATTATCAGAAAGAATAACACGTCAAACCAGCTCGCCTTTAACTGTCAGCTCTCTGCTTTACCCAGAATCTTTGGGCAGCCATCATTTCCTGTTACTTGACATTTATTAGAAAAACCTTCTGTTTTTTTTATTCCTACTTTGGCTCCAGCATGCTTTCCCTTTTAATTCTTTAAAATCCTTTTCCCTTCCTGGAGTTTAATGATGTTTTTAAAAGCATTTTTACATGTTTAGCTTGTCAAAATGTAGGAACATTTCAATCTGCAATATCCATGTCCTAACTTTCACTATAAGAAGTGTCCTAGGGAGAGCAACAACAGGTTTAAGTGCACACGTCCAGCATACCATGACAGCAGAGAGGGCAGAAACTGATCCGAGACAGGTCATGCCTGTGGTGTAGCTTGGATCCAGCATGTAGGGAATCATCCCAACGACACAAGCTGCCATGAGACTGGCGTTGAGCACATGACGAGCAGGGAGAATCAGGGGGGAGCTGTTCAGAAGACCTACAGGAATATAAAAGGCAGGAAGTAAGAGGGAAGTGGAGATGAGAATAATGTAGCTTATGAATAGATTTTTATTAACTACATGATGGAAGATTTTACAAACTGCAGAAAGCGGCTCTGCTTTTCTCACCTTGCAGTTTGCCGTACGCCACCAAAGAGCCACTGAAAGTGATTCCGCCAATGTAGGTGCCCAGGTAGGCCACTATCTTGGTGAGGTTGGCTGCAGGGTCCGTAGCAAAGTGAGGAAACTCAATCATATATTCGGCCACGCAGGTGAGTACTGCAGCCAGTCCCACCAGGCTGTGGAAGGCAGCCACAAGCTGAGGCAAGTCAGTGATCTCAATTTTCTTAGCAATGGCCAAGCCTGGAGATAGAGAGAAAAGAAGATGAATTTATAAAGTGCAGTGCTCCTTAAAGTCCCACGCACACACATACACACACTCCAGAGGACTCTCCAGAAGACTGCTGGGAAGTGGGCATTTGAAGAGCCAGGTGCTCCTGATGAGACCTGCTTTGGGAATTTCCAGGTTTTCCTGTTGCTCTACAATGTGCCAGCATGTGTTTGTGTGTGCACATGTCCTACAGGAAGCCTTTCAACAACGCCGGATCTGGAAAACAACATTATCTGCGCGGATAGTTTAGTCTGGTTTTCTGCTTTGTTACGGGAACAATTAGCGTATAAACGATCCAACCGTTCTGCAACAGAGAGAGAAAGTGAGTAATACCCGATGCTGACCAGTCTGACAAACCTCCTGTGTCTGGTGAGTGTTAGTCATGTTGTGTTTGATGTAAACATCACAAACTCTCGGCACTTCTTCTAGCTGCACATGGAATACAAACATGCACTTGCTGCAGCACCGTTCTACCATGTCAGTGCAACCCTGAAAGCTGCTTAATCGTTCTCTTAAAGGGATCCCTGATTAGTTGTAAACATTAGACTTTATTTGATAAACATATATTTTAACTGTAAAATAAAGACTGTAAAAATACTGCAGGATGTTTAGTTTTGTAAATTTTTAAAAACATATTTAACACAGACGGAGACATTTTATTTAACCATAAAGCATTCTGGGTAAATGATAACGTGTATAGGTCCTCGGTGTGAGCGAGCTATATCCACCCTGAAGGTTAATCTTGGACAATATCTGACGATCGACTCTTATAAATGAAACCAGAGAGCGTTGACAGAGAGGAGAAGGTAGAAATGACTCAGCCTGTAACTGAAAATATAGATGGAGGACAACAGAGCAGCTTCATGGAAGAACAACCTCAGCTTAGCCTGTTAGCCTTTGCGCTAACACGGATGCTGTATTGCCTTATATGTGTTAGCTCAGCGCTAGCGCAACAAACTAACAAGCTAAACTGAGGTCCTCCATCCATATTTTCAGTTGCAGACAGTCATTTTTGCGTTCCCCTCTCTGTCATGTGGATGGAGGACCTCAGTGACGAGAGGAGAATGTGTAGCGCTGAGCTAATACATATACTGTATGTGGTGATAGCATCGGGGCTAACGCTAAAGCTAACAGGCTAAGCTGAGGTTCTTCTTCCATGAAGCAKCTCTGTTGTCCTCCATCYAYATTTTCAGTTACAGGCTGAGTCATTTCTACCTTCTCCTCTCTGTCAACACTCTCTGGTTTTATTTAAAAGAGTCGATCATCAGATATTGTCCAAGATTAACCTTCAGGGTGGATATAGCTCGCTCACACCGAGGACCCATCCACGTCATCATTTATCAAGAATGCTTTGCGTGTAAATAAAATGGCTCCGTCTGTGTAATATATTTTTACACTTTTAGTTTAAAAATGATAAAAACTAAACAGCCTACAGTATTTTTACAGTCTTTATTTTACAGTTAAAATACATGTTTATTAAATAAAGTCTAATGTTACAACTAATCATAGATCCCTTTAATTTAAATTCACACAAACTCACCAGCACTACCACCCACAGCCATGGCTGCGCTCATTTGTGCCAGGAGCTCAGGACTGGGTTGGAGAGCACCCAAAGTGGCAGCCATGCCCCCTGCGACTCCAATCATACCCAGAGTATTTCCCAACCGGGCTGTCTTCTGATTGGAAAGGCCAGCAAGGGCACCGACACAGCACAGACCTGAGCCCAAGTACATCATCTATTYAGGAAAAAAAATGATGAGGATAAGGATTGTGGGTGGGGTGAAAATGGAAAAAATGATTTTAGTTGGACAGTCCCGCACAACATCTGAACAAATACAGAAAATATTTAAGAGGTCTGAAAGACTTGCAGAGTCACGCTGCTTTTTTTTGCCAATTCTGTGGAACGAAAAAACATAATTATTCGCTAAACTAAAAGTAAGAACATCAACATCTTGTTGCACCTGCTCAATGTTGTATCCAGAATGCAGAGCAGCAGCGTAGCCGCCAACGAAGACACCGGCAGGAAGAAGGTAGAGGTAGTTGTACTCAGGAGGGTCGGTGGGACGTTTGAACATGTCCAACATTTTCTGCGTGACCAGAAAACCACCTGCACAAAATACAGGGAGAAAAAATAAACAGTTTGTACTTACATGGGTAATAAATGAGGTTTAAAAGCCGTTTAAAAAAATAGGAGGAAAAAATAGGAATAGGAAAAAAATGTTTTAAATTAAGCGCAAGACAAAATTAAAGTGTGGAGGCAGGCAGCCGAGGCAATAAAACTGGGTCAGCAGGTGTTGCAAAGTCAACAGCTAGAAGGTTTTTTGCCAAGTCCAATAACCAATGTCAGGAATTTAATGAGTCTACTTTATGTCAGTATAAATATTTCAAATAGAAAACCTCAGAAGTGTCAACCTGGGACCAGACAGTGTATCACTGCTTTACAGGAAAATCTCACATTACAGTTTTCCCCTCTGGCATGATGGTAACCACGTGAACACACATGCACCCTCTCATACGAGGGTGAATCAGAGGTTAGCGCTGGTTTCTTTCCAGTACATGTAATTTTAGCCAAAGAATGTCCAAGTTAATACATAGAATAACAATTTAGATACTATTATTGCAGACATGTCTAAGTCAATGCATTAACATGTAGAAAGTTCTTGTATTTAAACACACAGTCAGTACGCACCTATTTGTCTTAGCTTTTTTGTATATTTAAACCTCAAAGGAGTCCACTGGTGGTGTATTTAAAATATTCAAGGGAAAAAAAAGCCCTTCAACAGAACAGCTGAAGTCATGAGGAAAATCAAGGTTTGTTCTTTATTTTCCTCCATATGTGTTTTTGCATTTCCCCTAGATTCAAGTTAGAGGGTAGATTAAGCTAATTAAGTCAGCTGGAGTTTGAACWCCTTGAAAATATAAAAGCACAATAAAAGGCTGTCAGATTTTTACTAAACAATGTGGGAATAAAACATAAAATACCTGATAGAAAGGTCAGAAAAAAAAAGACTGAAGTAATTACAGGCAAACCAAAATTTCTTAAACAGGGGTCCCAGGACCCCATGAGCTGCAGCTTGGGGGTCCTCAAAAAAATAATAAAAAATTTTGTTTTTCCATTTAAAGAAAATGCATAAATACATATGGAGAACAACGCACCAGTAAAACAAACATACTTAACTAAATAAATAATATGTATGATATGTATGTATGTTATATCTGTCATTTATTTTGAATATTTGTTGTGTATTATATGAATGTATTTTTAATGATGGACCCCAGGAAGAGTAGCTGGGTGTTTAGTTTTAGTTTTATTCATTTATTCATTTCATTTAAAAACAAAAAAACAACTTTTTTTGTTTTTTTGTTTTAATTTTTTTCTTTTTTTTCTTTTTGTTGTGTTAGGCCCAGCTAATGGAGATCCTAAACAATNGTGTATTATATGAATGTATTTTTAATGATGGACCCCAGGAAGAGTAGCTGGGTGTTTAGTTTTATTCATTTATTCATTTCATTTAAAAACAAAAAAACAACTTTTTTTGTTTTAATTTTTTTCTTTTTTTTCTTTTTGTTGTGTTAGGCCCAGCTAATGGAGATCCTAAACAATTAACAATTCCCATGGCATTAAAGGGGTTAAAATGGCAGTAAATCCTTTTTAAGATCAGCTTGAGATTTATGAGGGGGTCCCTAGAATATTTTCACCCCTGTGATGGGTGATCAGACCCAATAAGCTGAACAACCCTGATTTAAACGATGTTTAGTGAGACAAGTAATCAAAACATACTCAATCCCAACATGGGTCTTCCTCTCTTCCAAACAGTCCAGCCCACTTGAACACTTAAAAGACTGTAGTTTTAGAAATATTTGGACACATTGTCCATAAGCAGGGCCTGTTTTTAAATAAATACTTAGTCTTGTTTAGTGTCTCATAATACAAATACGAACATTTATCACAAAATGAAGGCTCATAAGAATATCATTAGTTGTGAAGCAATTGCACAACATCTCGTTTTGGCAGGATTATAATTTAAATTGTGGAAGAAAAAATCTGAAACAAGTGTCTTGAAGTTGGGTAAGCAGGGAAAGCATGAGGGCTGTAGCATTTTAGCACAAGCTTGTTACTGATTGAATTTAATGGAACTCTAATAGAGTTAGAAGTTGGAAAAGTAATCCCACAACTCTTACGATTCTGACAGCGAGCGCTTCAAATTAAAACCTTATGTGTCTGACTTCTCCCAAACATGCAATAATGAGACGTTTCTAAGCATTTAAACCAACAGACTGAACAGGTCTTTTATGACAGTCAACTGTTCATTTGCTAGTGTCGAGCTCGCCCCCAACTCCCAGCTGTGAGCTAATAGGAGAAACTCTAGCCTGCAAGAACAGAGTTTCCCAGGACTATTAGTCAGTGATGAGTATTTTAATCACTTCACCAATGAGAATTATTAGAAAAAAAAACAACTGGATGTGTGTGGTCCAAGCCAGAGTCACTGACTCTTGCCTGAACAAATGGGTACAAAGGGAAGCTGCAAAACGTGTGTTGAAATGTTGTTTTTAGTACAATCAATACAAAACACCCCAATCATCGGCCTGAGTTGATATTTTATTGGCGTGAGGTTGCTGTAACTGGCAGGGATCACTGCGAGGTGCCTATGTTCGGGTGACTCACCAGCGATGTTGACTGAAGAGATGAAGGCAGCGAGCACAGCCAGTGTCTGCGCGGTATTAGTTGGCAAGTAGCCGCCTCCCATCAGGGACAGACCACCCACAGCTGTCAGACCTGCAGACAACATATATGTCAGTGTTAATGACAATTTCTGTTGAATAACACAGCAAAACATTGGTGAAAAAGAGAAATACAAACAAGAACTTCAGACAATAAATCCATCATTGAGGTTAATATTCATTAGATTTGTTTATCAGCCCTTCCTACAGACTTTGTGGTCAGAATCCAGTTTGCCTGCCGGACTGGAAAAAAGAAGAAAAAAAACAGGAAGATACTGCGATAAAAAAGGCAAAAGAGAGAGTTGTGTGTGTTTGACCAAAAGTGGCTCAGGGAACCTTGATAACATCAATCCTGTAATGATTTACAGGCAGTGAGATGCAACACCGACAGCCTGGGCTCACACAAACATGCACGCACTTTATGGCGACTAACAGGTGTGCATTTGTGTTGGACATCTACATTCCTAAATTAGACTTTTGTTTGAAGAAAAGTAAAGTGGAATTTTGACCCATTTTCTCTGCCAAAACACAGCTTTAGAATCAGGTTTGTTTATCAACTTTTACGCAGAGTTTCAAATGTTGCCAAACACAATTTCTCAACCCTTATTATGCAATTACAAGCTCATTTAAAATCTGTAACAAAATCAAAGAGATGATCACAGCAGGGAAGAACAAAGTAATGTAAAAAGGAGACAATCTGACAGAATCACCTTTCATGCATGCAGACTTTCAGATTCAGGATGGTTTTGATTTCAAACTAAACTGTGGAAGAAAATGTTGGTCATCAATTGAAGCAACATAAAATTATGATACTTCAGTGTGAAAAGTTCAAACCTCAGCCAAAAACAAAACAAAGAATAACCTCAATTATAAATTTTATCTTCACCTGATACATGCAAGATTACATAAARATAACTTTGTATTGAGGCAAATAAAAAAATGATTAAATCCTTGATATATTCACTGTATCAGACAATAACCCACCTGAGATGGCGTTGGTGACAGACATGAGTGGTGAGTGCAGAGCGGGAGTGACTCCCCACACTGTGTGGTATCCGACGATACCCGCAAGACCGAAGGTGGTGACCATCTGAGTGAAGGCGGCGTTAGGAGCAGCCAAGCCCAGACTCAGCAGTGTGCCAATACCTGGTGCAAAAAGACGACAAAAAATAAAATAGATAAAACAGAACAAATGAGACCATTAGAATCTGTTTTTGGTTATTTCTCTTGTTTTCCTATTTCAAAATAAAATGAGGAAAAAAATCAGATTTATTTTTTTGGTTTAAAGCAAAATTAGAAAAACGACAACTGCAAAATTGAAAAAGACTACGTTTTTCCTTTTAATTTTAATGTTTAAAATAAGTCAAACTTWATCTTTTCTTAATGCACTATTTGTTACATTCTGGTGGAACATGAGATCATCATGGCCTGAACTCTTGGAGCATTATGTTTTTCTTTAGCACTTTAGAAACAGCCTTATTTAGGAGTCGACTTATCTTCAGATATTTTACTTTGAACAAAATTGCTTTAATATTCCAGGTTTTGCAGAATCAGGTTTGACTTCAGCCATTGACAAGATCTTTTAGGAATGGTTTATGTTGTTGAGCAGTTTTTCAGCCACTATAAATTCCTTTTCTTTGGCAGCTTTCCTCATTTCCGGTATCGCAGAAACCGTATATTTTCATTTGGATTTAAATAGCTAAAGCAAAATTCAAACACTGTAGAATTTTAATTAGTTCAGTTTTACAATTTTATTTTGAAAGAGGAAAACCAAAGAATGAACCATACATGAATTCACTAGAACTGTCTGTGTAGCCTATTTAAAAGCAGATTATTATAAAGTCACGTCCACTGGTGACTTCCTAGCTTAGACCTAAAAGTTAACCACAGATATTTTGTTTCACATGTGCTTGTGTGGTTTGACAGTATTTTAATATACTGCAGTATCAAAATATGGAAACAATATGTAAAAATTACGATTTTAGTCACGTGAGGTGAAGTGCCAACTTTCCACAAGGCTGCTATGAAAACTGGGACATAAACATTCTAGGCTCTTTTAGAAGACGCCCCATTATGTTGACATGTTTTCTAATCACCTCGGTTCGTTTAGAAGATACCCCCGTCTGTTGCGCCTCTTAACCTCCGAGTGAGGTAAAAAATAATAATAATAAATATTCATTGTTGAAACTTCCTATGTATTTTCTGAGTTATACTGTAACTGAAAAACGGTCTCATAAAGTAACTAAAATATTCCACATTTCCATWTTTTATTATAAGATCTAGCTGAAATGTTATTTGTACTATGACAGCACATTGGCTCAGTGGTTAGTACTGAAGCCTCACAACATGAAGGTCCTGGGTTCAATCCCCAGTTCTTTCTGTATGGAGTGTGAATGTTTTCCTTGTGGTTGAGTGGGTTTTCTTGGGATACTCAGATTTCCTCCCACAGCACAAAAACGTGCCCACGCCGCCCTCGCAAAAGGGATCGTGATCTCATTGGGATTTGCCTGATTAAAACAAGGTTAATAAATGATAATGGAAGGATACAACATAACTGATTTATTACATGAATTGAGTGACAAATTACCTGCTAAAATATATTTCCACAAATCAGGACAAACCTTTAGCCCATCACCAGTTGATGGTGGCAGTTTGGAAAACAGGTTATATTTAGAAGATTTCCTAATTCATAACCATTCGCTGATTATTTCAGAGAACAGACACATGACCACTCATGTTCAGACAACTATACTGTTTATGTAATACTCAAAAAGCAATGTACTGTATGTGGTTACTGTTAAGGAAAGCTGTATCAATGATAGTCATCTTAAAATCATTTCAAAAGCTACAAAAACATCACAGTTCATAAAAGCAAAGTTGTTTAGAAGGGTAAAACAGTAGCTGTGAGGTGGGACATTGTAGGTGACTTGTGTGCACCACATTAACTAAATGTGGAGCACTGTGAGAAGCCCCCACTACACTTCAAACAAACAGCATGAAACCATTTTTACACTGTGCACTTCCTGACGCTAACAGGGTGCCTGTGTATGTGAGCGCCCTCGCAATGTGCCTGTCACTTCTCATCTCCTGCACACATTCCAGCAGCGACTTAAAAAGCAGCTTGTTAACCCATCCTTCACCCTAAAGCAGACCTCAAACTCCCTGAAAGCCCGCAGCTGACTCTAAACCCAATGAGTCATCTTCAAATTTATACTTTACGCTGACATAGCATCCCCCAACGGAGAATATAAATGAATTTCACAATCATTTGTAACAACTAACCTCCAGTGTAAATGCCAGCGGTGGTGAGTGTAGCCCTGAAAGGTGAGATCTGTGATGCCTTCTCTGCCTCCAGTTCATGGACAGACTTGGGTTTAGGGGGAGCTGCAGTGGGCAAGTTGTTAGGCTGGGGAGCGGGGAACAGGTTCTTTCCATTCTAGAAGCGAAAATAAATAAATTGCAACATAAAAAAGGATTAAATTTCTGAGCAAATACATTAATCATAGTACAAATTAGTAACTAAGATATTTTAGAAAATCACTGGACAAAGTGTTGAAGATTGAATTAGAACGATAAAGAACGTTCAAATCTGGTTTTAAGGATCAGATCAGTATCCCAATGAGGGCATTTTCTGACATGTCTGCTGCTTGGAAATGTTTAAAAGTGAAAATTGATAGTGGTTTAATAACAGTATTTACTCAAACTTAGATAAGACCACTTCTATCACCTGGTTTCTGCTGCAGAGAATGAAACCAGTAGTATGTGCAGTAAACCTAGGGTGACATCTAGTGACAAAGGCAGGTCCTTACACTATTCTGAATAATTTGCAAAAAAAAAAAAAAAAAAAACTGAGTCTCCTGGACTTCCTCCCATGCTCCAGCTTATGTGAAACATTACCAAAAACACATCAGTGTTTTGTTGGTTTCCTGCCACATGACACCTCATACCTGCATGACAATAGATCCTCTGACAACATGRTCCATGGTCCCGTAGTCAAACGCATCCTTAACGTCGAGGAAAAAGTTCTCCTTGTCTGGGCTGATTGCCCGAAGCAGCTTAGTGATGTTGTTGGAGTACAGGGTGCTGGACTGCGTCGGTAAACGGCTGGGGATGTCTGTGTAGCCGATGTGGGTCACTCCCTAATAGGAAATATGTTTACATAACAAAAACATAAACACATAATGCTGGCATTTATCTGAATATATTTGAAGAGAATGTACACTGACCTTGTATACTGACAGTTCTCCTGGAACCGTGGTCTCAATGTTTCCACCAGCCTCAGCAGCCAAGTCCACCACCACCGAACCGTCCTTCATGCTCTCCACCATTGGTTTGGTGATCAGGATGGGTGCCCGCTTACCTGAAGAAAACATGACATTATAGATGAAATGAAAAACTAATTTATTGTAAAGGGGACTGATCATGCCTTTAAATGCTCATTCAGTTGGGGTCTACATAAAGTGGAACTACAATATTTTCATYTGAATTCCCTGATATTGTAGCTCCACAAGCCCCTCTTTCACCCCTTCTCTGAGGTGCGTCYGAGAGCAACTTGTATTGGTGCGGTCTCGGCCTATTTTGTAATTAGATAGCAGAGACATGATCAATTTTTAGTTAAAAACTATTAAAAGATTAATTACAAGAGAAGACTTGTCCATCCAGCCTTACATGATGGAGCCAGGGTCTGACCCAGAGCCAGAGGAGAATGAAGAYGATGAACTTGCAGAACCGCAGACTCACAAAATTGATAAGCCAATTTTTTTAGCAAATTTTGTGATGTAATAGTTCAGAAAATGTACCACAATCATTCATGTATATGATCTTGAGTATAATAYGCCCCTCATTATTTAGCTTAAATAGCATAAAAAATCTAATCCTCCTGTATATTGCTACCACTTCTTTCAGACAGACCAGATGTTTTTCCTCTTCTGACTCCAGAGAGTAAACAACCACTGTTTACATGCTTCACAATACACGACATACAATGGGAGGCAGGGAGAAGTTATTCTTCCACCACAAACACAATWTAWAAGTTCTTYATGAGAAAATAGTGAAACTTGTTGTAGTTGTACATTAAACAGTCAAAATTTACTCATGCCTAATACTTCCCTACCCCTCACCCCAGTGTTACGTTTTTTGTATTATACATGCATAAATACGATAATAGGGAATAGAAAAAACTGAACAGACAGAGAAATATGACCCAAACAAAATTTAAAAATATGTGCTCAGCAACAGGAGAGACTAAATTCAAATTTCCAGAACTCCTAGAGACTCCAACGAAACGTTTTTATTGGCTAAAAAAGTGAATTTTGCATAATGTTCCCTTTAAAGTCCTCTAATTGCCTTGAATGTTTAGAATAAAACCGTAAAAACCTGCATGTGTTTCTGCATTCCAACATACCAGGGATAAGAGCAGTACTGATGACGATGTCCACTTCTTGACACTGTTTGGCAAACAGCTTCATCTCTTCCTCTATGAACTCCTTGGACATTTCTTTGGCGTAGCCTCCCTGACCTTCTCCTGATTCTTTTATGTTCACCTCCAGCGGCTCGGCACCAAGAGATTTAAATTGCTCCAAAGCTGCAGCCCTAAAACAGAGAACATGTGCCACAAGATATTACTTCATTGTCAGACAAAAAACATCTGAACATAAACATGTAAACCGTATGTTACATGTGATAAAAAGTTTAATCTGGAAAAATGTTGAATATGATACT